TTTTATGGACTTTACCCCTACCAAAGTAGTTATCTAAAGCCACTGAGTGTTATTTTTTGTTGAGAGCCACAGCCTAGTCGGAATGGCCTCTGGCATTTTCCAGAAGAAATGGTTGAGAGGCAAGCCATTAAAATAATACTGGATCGAAAAAGGTTGTGTATTTAATTGTATATAGACCCTTGCTGTCCGACTCCAGCACCTGTTACTTTGAAGTTCTTGTAGGAATTCCTAGGGAGTTCGGGTTAGTTGGTGAAGTTTTGGTGGTGGGAGTTGGTAGGTAAAATTTTGGTGGTGGGAGTTCCGATTAATGTGTGGTGTGCCTGGAAGGGCTACATGGGTGGCATTCTCAGGAGTTTGGAAAATATATAAAGTTTGTTCCTGCTTGAGTGGCTGGGGATTTGTCCGCAGCCAGACTGTGGCAATTTTTGGCTGCCCTGGTGTTCTCAGACCTGTCCCTCCCTCCTCAACATTCCTCCACTTCTTCTTCTAGGCCCAAATCTAGCCACCATTAAGCAGGAAGTAGCCAGAGGACATTACCCCACCCCCATGTCACTTAGAAAAACAAAAAGGGAGGGATGTTAGGTGCAGGACAGGCTGAGTAAGCTGTCTGCAGGGCATGCCAAACAAAGTTAGAAGCAGGATGACCTGATCTCTCAAACCCTTTGTATGCTTCTTTCTCACCTGTTTGCTTCAGGCCCAAATGCCCAAGCCCCCACTCAAGGCTGAGCACTTTCTCCCCCTGCTCAAGGCTGAACACTTATCCCACCACTCAAGGCCAAACACTTAACACCCTTGTGCTAACAAGGCAGCTTGCAGACCCAGAGACCCCCATTAGATTTGGGCTGTAAAAACTCCCTCCTGCTGCCCCCCCACTCTCTTCTCTTTCTCTCTTTTGTCCTCTGTTGCACTTCTGTAATAAAGATCTCTTGGTTGCTTTGAGTATTGTGGTCACTTTCCTTTCAACTTCTGTAGCCAGTATGAACTTTTAATTTTTTTTTTAGATGTAGATGGACACAATACCTCAATTTAATTGTTTATCTCTTGTGCTGAGGATCCAAACCTAGTGCCTTACACATGCTAGGCAAGCACTCTCTACTATTGAGCCATAATCCCATCCCAGCAATAGGATGTTAAACTCACTTTTTTACTGAGTCTAACATTACATCAAGATCAGTATA